AAATATAATTTTTATTGTTTTGCTATAGTCTTTATCTATATCTTGCCAGTTGAATATATTGTATTTATATATATTATTTCAGTCGAATGACCTTCGCTTATTAAAAATGCATTGGCAATGATTAATGCACATATTGAGTATGATATGATGGGCATTACACTTATTATTGTTATTTATTATTTTTCTGCCTTCGAGCTGGTTCCTCAAGTGCAGGGACACGGAATAATCAAGTGCTTATGCTGCGCATTTCTGATTGAATCGCAATTCGATTGACGTGGGCGGGCGTTAGCTGCATATTATGAAAAACAAGCTGCATTTACCATAAACTTGTTTACATACCCTACCAGAGATTATTATAAATATATCAGGAGATATGTCTAACTAAAGCCATATATGCATAATAACGAATAACTAAATTAGCTATTCTCTATAGCCAAGCCTTAATCAAACTAGAAATTAATCATTATTTTAAATCTGTTTCTATAACTGAACTAGAAATCGATAATAGATTTGAGTAGTTCAATCTAAACCTTAGTTTGGTCATTCAGTTTATCTACAATCATAATACTATAAAGAGTATTGAATATTCTGCTCTTAGTTCTTTGTGGTTATTCATGGAAAACTGGAAAGAGTATATAGACAATTAGCATAATAAAATGCCATTCGCTTTTATTAATCATTCATTGAAGGACAATATGTTAATTGTGCCATCAACAACTCGTGTGACTTGAGGCGTGCAGCCGCCCTCCTAGCCCCCTTTATCACCTGTTTTCACACCTGCTATTTGGCTTTATTTTTAGCCATGCTAATTGAGCAAATTTCATATTTGATTAGCACATTCCGCTTATCTAATGGGTGCGAGCTATATCCAACTATCATATCATGTGCGCTCGCTCAACCATTGACCATTGTCTTTGATGCCCCTCCAGCCTCCAGCCCCAATCTGCTCGCTGAGTCGCCACAAAGTGCTAAAATGCTAATCTCAAATGGCCAATGCTGATTCGGCTATTAGCGTTTTATTATTATGGTATTGTTCACTTCTCTCATTTTTTCCGACGCGCAATTTGATGACAAATTGAAGCAACAATAATAAACAACAACAAAAACTTTAATGACCACGCTGCTGCACAGTGGTGTCAAAGTCGCATTTTCATATGACTCTTAGTTTGATTGTTGTTGTTGCCGGCTCCACTGCGGCATTGACACTATTCTAGAACTTGAGTGGCCTGCACTGGCCCAGCCCAACTCAGTCCGAAAATGTGCGCAGCAGGCGTGACTCTGACAATTTGCTAACATTGTTGTTGCTGTTGTCGATGTTGTTGCTGTTTCCTATTTATAACAAATCCTCGCAATGTCATAACAATGGCGTCATAAGGGCCAGCTCAATGACCACAACAACACGAGACAGAAGACACAGAGCTGATGATGATGTTATAAGGTTTATTGTGACAACGCCCAAGCTAATGAAATATAGCTGATGATGGCACAGCTAATATTTAATATGTGTCTAGGATTGACGCAAGCAGCGGCTGTACGAATAAACAAAAGTTGACAGCCCATGAATTATTATTATT